TCTTGTCGGTTGTAAATTGAATGATTAATTGTGTTTTGAGTTTAAATATACCTTTATATTCATATTATAAAAGTGCGTATTTTGTGGCTACCTCATCCAGAAAACACAACAGGTTGTGATATGGGATGTCATTTTTAAGGATGTTTGACACAGTTCCTTAACACTTATTTACACTTTAATTAAAATGTTGACTGTACAGATGGTGTGGTTGAGTTCTGAATAGTTTTTAAGTGTTGTCTGTTTGCTTGCTGATTGAGTTATCCGTGATGGAGTTTTGTAACTGTTTATTACGCACGATTAAGAATAATATGTGAAGGTTGGCGATGTGAAAATGTGAGAAAGAAGTGATAATGATTGCATCCTCCCTTCCAAACACCCTTGCAACGATGCCCTTGGAACGTCGGAACAAAGACGTCACTTGAAGACATTGGAGAAGGCTGCCGCAGTTTGTCGACAAGCAGGTCTACTTTCCCCAAATGTGCAGTTAGGGGGCTTATAGAAGTGAAAATTGAAGAAAGAATGTTTCCCTACCATGAACCTACCATGAATGTTGGGAATTCCAACAGTTATTTGCATACCCCTCATTTGGTTAATGTTATTTTAAAATTACTTAATTAGCTATTTGGCAAGTACCTCATGGTAAAAAGAAAATTGCCGTATTATAAACCCGTTAAGCACCGTACTTTGGGGCCATACCTGCCCCTTGGGACTGTGGACACCCACCCCTGTACCACCCTTAGTGGGCGGGATTTCGAATATCTGAAGACTGGCCCACGAGGGATAGACAGGAGTTTGTTTGGATAAACAAGGTTTCCACTTATTTTGGAATCTGTATAAAATCGTGGGGCATAGGACTTTCCAAATTAGAACATCTTAAGAACTCCATAAGAATTGAACTAAGAACATTGAAATTACATTGGGAACATATGTACATATTTATAAATAAATTCAGGTGTTTGTAAATAGTATTGAACTTCTATTTACTAAATAAACGGCTCCACGAACATAATGGGAGCCTCCGTGTTGAGCGTGAATCGAAGAAGAGGCCGATTCCGCGCTCGACAACGACCGTGATCCGAAAGATGGCGCTTCAGTAGCGGCTGCCACAGGCGTAGCAAGCGCCATCTAGTTAAGTCCCTAGTTTTAGTTAGTTTCTAGTTAGTTTAAGTAAAACCTAAGTCACTAGTTGGTAGTATTAGATTTAAGTTGGCGCACCCCCTTTCTTTCGGCCCAGCAGTGTGGCCAGATCTGGCATAATTGAGTGCATCGAAATCGACAACAGTGACGACGAACTTCCTTAGCGTCTAACGGAATGGTGGGGATAGCAGGCATACACTACCGCACGAGCCACGTGTACGTGAGCTCGGCACTTCGCACAACTTCGGTAAATCGATAAAGAACGCTAGTGTAAGCCTTTCCTTCTTGCTCTTGTAAAAGAGAAACAGCTGAAATACGACCTCGCGTTAATCGGCATACGATTCCAAATCTCGACTGCCCCAGCATTTTTACTTTCCGACCTATATGTAAGGTATAAGGAAATTTATAAAGTATCATAATGAAAAAAAATTTTGAAATTTTTTTTTAGCGGAAATACGCGTTTTGGGACCCCCTGATCATATTGTGACTATTGAAAAAAACGATATTTTTTTTGTTCCTATGCTATTAACATGAATGCATTAAACGACTAAGTGAATTTCAATAACGAAATAAATATTTCGAAATTTTTTTTTAGCGGAAATACACGTTTTAGGACCCCCTCATCATATTGTGACTACTACAAAAAAAACATATTTTTTTTTTGTTCCTATGCTATTGACATGATTGCGTCTAAACGGCTGAATGAATTTCAATGAAACTTAACATTTAAGTTTTAAGGTCTCATTATATTTTAAGCGTGATCAGTTCCCATATAATGATGATTATACGTCTGTAGTATTATAATTATTTCGATACATATACATCATTTGTAACAAATTTTTAAAGCGATTTATATAAATCTTAAGAAGGATTAAGATCAAATATACTTTTCTCCTATCTTTTCTAGAAAGGAAAAATTAAACGAAATCTTATGCATTGCATACCTACCTAAACCACATTAAAAACGTATTCCACAAATATTTTAGAATAATGTTGTTCAAAGCAGTCTTACTCGTAAAGGGTTAATTAAGGGTTAATTAAAATGAAAAACCACTCTTAGCCAGTACCGTGCACTCTACAGAAATAGATTACTACTGACTTTTCCCACTATGTTTTTTAATAACCGTATCAAATTGTTACACACAATCAAATGTTATATATTTGACTTAACTTTACATAACAAAATAATTGTAACGATAGGTAAAACAATAACGTGCACGCTACCGTTCAATGGAAACCACGGGAAGGTGGTGGTCACTTCCATCAGGAGGGAAATGTAAAAAATTGTTATTTCTTTGTAACATTATCACATGCCATATATTAGAACGTCTATATTCTTCTTTCCTTTTTTTTTGATTCCCCTCTAAATTCATTTCTGCAAAATGAAATATATTAAATTGACGTCTATATACTGCTATTCATTCAATAGAACTTTATTTCTAATTATTGCCTTTTAAAAACCTATGGGAACTGGGCTATCTGGGATATCTACGTCCTTTCTTCGTCCGGGCATTTCAACGGCCCATCGATGCGCGAGCAGTATAAACAAAACACTATCGCCACGTGCTCGAGCCACTGCTGTTTCTCTTGAGTCAGTTGAATTCGGTCGACGAGGACGAACATCAGGACAAATTTAAAGGTACGTGCCGTAGGTCATTCTGAGATATTTAAATTGAAAAAAAGCTTTCGCGTAATTTCTGTAATTTTCTGTTCTTTCGCTTTTCTGCTTTTATATCATGGAAACGGTTGTGAAATCGAAGAATAAGTGTAAGCGCGGTTTTTTATCTTCATGGATAAATGATCATAGATTTAAATCATGGATACGTGCAGTACCCCATGATAGAAGTCGTTTTTATTGTACTTTATGCAATAAGTCTTATTCTTGCGGTTCCTCAAACGTGTATAGACACGGAGAATCTGGGTGTCATAAAAAAAATAGTACTTCTAAAAGGACTTTTATGCCTCAATGGCTTGAGAATGATTATTTCAAGCCATGGTTGCATAAAGTCGACGGCGACCCTTATTCGTGGTTCTGTTCGGTTTGCAACAATCAATTTTCATGTCGATTATCGACGATTTATAATCATGCAGATTCTCAGTGTCACATTGAGAATTATAAAAAGAGTAACGATGACGCAGACAATTTGAATAATAATTTTACGACGCAATCCGAAGAATCGCCTCTGTCGTTGGATGAAAGGATAAAATCCGCGGAAATCAAATTTGCCAAATTAATAGCCGAAAAAAATATTCCGTATCGAACCGCAGAGACGATTCTTGAAGTTTTCAAAGACATTGGGCAAGATCCTGATGTCTTGAAACATATGTCGTTCGGTCGAACAAAGTGTTCAAATATTATATCAAACGTTTTGTATCCTTTAGAAACAAAATGTATTTCTAGTGTTTTACAAAACACTAAATTTTCTATTTATATTGACGAAACATCCGACTCGACCAACGAGAAATGGATGACGTTTCTTGTTCGTTATGTTGCACCCGAGACTTTGGATGTTCGAACGGAATTGGTAGAATTATTACATCTTGATGCCAGAAATTGTGACGCAGATAATTTATTTAAAACATTTGAAATTGCCATGATAGAAAGAGAAATTCCGTTCGAAAATATTGTCGCGTTGTCATGTGACAACGCTGCTGCTGTCATGACAGGGCGACACTCGTCCTTTATGACAAAGCTTGCAACAAAATGCAGGGACAAATTTTTGACTGTCCGCTGTCCGTGTCATCTGTCTGCAATGGTAGTGCGCGAAGCGTGCAATACCATTCCAGACATATGCGAGGAGTTGTTACGAAAAGTAGCAACTTTCATATACAGTAGTCCCAAACGTTCGGCTATATTCCGCGAATTTCAGCAATGTTTTCAAACAACCGACAGAAAAATTTTAAAATTGTGTTCTACGCGATGGTTATCGCATTATACATCCGTAGTTACACTTTTAGAGAATTGGGACTCTGTATTGCTTTTTTTGCAAGAATTGACAATAAGCGAGAAATCAGAGTCCGGGGAACGTCTGTTAATCTCGATGCAAAATCCAGAGGCCAAAGCATACCTCTATTTTCTAAATTACGCTCTTGAGTTTTTTTTATAAAGAACCCCGCACTAATTACATGGGAAATTTAATCCCGGTTAATCTCGTTCATTTTCACATATGTTGTAGCTTATGACCTGGTGAACAAAAAATGTAATAGGCAAAAACGTCTGTGATGGATAATTATTGAGATACAGCTAATCAAACGGCAAATAGAAAAGTTACGGTAGGCTTGCGCTACGCCTCACTTTGACTTTGACCAGCGGTCTCTCTCCGCTTTACCACCTCGCTAGTAGTTCCCCCTCCACCGCACCGTCGATCTGTCAGAAGTGGTGAGGGACTACGCTGCATGAGGGATCTCGCGGTTAGCTAGCCAGCCGAAAGCTATGAAATCGTTGCCGATGCTGGAGGACGAAATCGACGCTAACACTGTAGTAATACATTCCGCTGTCCGATTGCTTAGCGCAGCACGCGCGCTCTATTTTTAAACTGTTACATTATGGCATATAGAAATCGAACTTGCTGCTATGTTTGCAATCGTAGTTTTCGTAATCGACAAATGTCGCGAATAAATGGCGAAGAAAATGTTATCAAAAAGGAAATTGCAATTCTTAGACGCCACCGATTAGGTTCTGAACCCATTGATATAGGGGCTGAAAGTCGGCTATGTTTTAATTGTAATTTATCTATTGAGGATGAAATAAAGCAAATAAATCGCGATCCAGCTTCTTTAAGACTGAACATTGTTACTCAAACCCGAAATAGTTCATGTATATTTTGCAATTCCTCTGCAAATGTCCATCGGCTTTCTCTAGAATGCAGGGTAAATGTTTTCGTTATGAAAAATATTTATATCCCTGAATATGTTAATTGCTGTAATCGACATTTAGATAACAATGGTCATATTTTACAACCATTACTTTCCGCCTTGCGTTACATAAATAGACCATTTGTAATAAAAGGGCAGCAATTGCAAGCTTTTCTACAGGCACTTCGAGATGTAGCGAACAGTAAAAGTTGCTACGACAATGAAAACTGTTTTACAGATGATGATTTTAAGACTGTAACACCTATTACAAAAGAACAGTTTCAGGATCTGTATACATACTGCGATCGAGTGCCTCAAGAACACGGTTTCCGAAACATTAGTAAAAAAGACCTTTTGACTTTTTTATATAAGTTACGGCAAGGATTATCTGACGAATTTCTTAAAGTCATTTTTCGATATTCCTCTAGACAGTCGGTAAGTTTAGCTATTACCAAAGTTCGACAGTCTTTATTACAAAGATTTGTCCCGATGAATATTGGTTTTCAAGCAATAACTCGAGATGAATATATAACGAATCATGTTACGTCTTTTGCAAATGAGTTATACAATTCTGAACCGAGTATTTCAAAAGTAATTGCTTATATTGATGGGACTTATTCGTATATTAACAAAAGTAGTAACTTTCGTGTTTTACGACAAACGTATTCCGTACATAAAGGTCGACATTTGGTAAAACCAGCGTTAATAGTTGCTCCAGATGGATATATACTGGCTATTCAAGGACCATACTTTTCTGACTCGCGAAATAATGATGCTCGAATGTTAAATAGCGAATTTGAACGCGACGTGAATGATATGAGACAATGGTTCCAAGATGGCGATATTTTCGTATTAGATCGTGGGTATCAAGATGCCCAACCGTTACTACGTGAATTAGGCATTCATTACAGGATGCCAGCCTTACTTGAATGCCATCAGAAACAACTATCTACCGAAGAGGCAAATGAGTCTCGATTGGTGACGAAAACAAGATGGATAGTTGAAACTAGAAATGGGCATATTAAGTCTATTTTTAAGTTTTTTAACCACATAATTAATATGCACCATATTCATCATCTTGGTGAATTTTATAATATTGCAGGGGCTATAATTAACAAATATCACCCGCTAATTTCAATGGAAGGCGTTAATACAAAATTGGCACAAGAACTTCTTCATAAGTCCAAAGAAGTTAATGTTGTGCACGCACGAGTTGAAATTGAAAGGCTGTGCTATAGAAATGCAATGTGGATACATTTAAATGACGAGCATTTACATAATTTTCCGCACCTGACCTTAGAATATTTACGAGATTTGACGATTGGAACATTCCAGGTTCGTCTGGCACGATCTTACGTTCAGGATAAAATGCAGCGTGACGACACAGAAGAGTTTCAATTAGATTCGCTCCTTGACGAACCTGGTCTCATAAGGGTACGAGTGTTTTCACGGTTTAGAAATGCTACAAAACATCAAATATTTATAGCATACAACATTCTTGAATCAGATGGTGTAGACGATGATACCGAGCCAATTTTAGGTTATTATTGTACCTGTAAATCTGGTGCAAGGACCCTTGGTACATGTTCACATGTGGCAAGTGTGCTGTGGTACCTAGGGTATGCAAGGTATCAAGACAATGTTCGTTATCCGTCTTCGTTATTGTTAGAAATACTATTAGATGCTGCTCACAGACCACCGCAACAACATCCAAACGAGAACTTCAATATTGCTAATTCTGACTGAGTTGTCCTTAGTAAAGTTCGAGGAAAGCAGCTTTCTGAACGATTCGGATGATTTTTAAATATGTTGAAGTCATCAACATATGGAATAACCTTTTACTATACATATACGTATGTTTCGGTTGGCCACAGTTTTCGAATTATGCGAAAATATGTTTTAATGTTAGGTGAACCTGTAGAAGGACCACTCCCTGATAGTTTTTGATACAATGTTTTTTAATACCTCTGTATATATAAAAAAACTATATATAATATCAATATAAATATAAAATATAATATAAAACTGTAGATATATAAAAACAGGAACAATGGCAAAAAAGCAGTTGCTTGCGAAAATACTGTATAACGTTATGTCAACGTTCTGTACGATTCGTAACGATTGTACTGCACTAGTATGTAATTTTACCCAGGAGAGAATCCTTTTCAATGTATGTATACAGATGAGGCGGTAGCTTTTCTAGAATTGCACCCTATCTTTGCTTACCCGCTTCTAGAAAAAACAAGGAATAAGGAGAGTTGCGTCCTGCCGATGCGAGACAGCGCGAGCCTACCGTAACTTTTCTTTTTGCCGTTTGATTAGCTGTATCTCAGTAACTATCCATCACAGACGTTTTTGCCTATTACATTTTTTGTTCACCAGGGCATAAGCTACAACATATGTGAAAATGAACGAGATTAACCGGGATTAAATTTCCCATGTAATTAGTGCGGGGTTCTTTAGCATTTTCTTTCAAACTCAAGAGACAAGAATTCATTTGCTTCAAAAGACTGCGGCAGAACTTTTATGCGATATATTACGCAATTTTCTGAAACCGCAGCTTTTGAAACACATGGCTTTAGTCAGAATGATGAGTTTTTCTGTAGTCGAAAATCAACTCCCATTTAATAGTATAAATTTAGGAACAGAGTGTCTTAATTTTCTGCATCAACTGAATGCAGAAGGCAAGTCCGACATCGTAGAAACCGTAAGGAAAAATTGTTTAATGTTTTATATTACAGCTGCAAATGAAATTCTTCATCGATTGGCAATCGATGACGAATTTCTTAGCAACTTGTATGTTTTTGAACCCACTTTTATATTAAATGATACAAATAGAGACATTTCCTTCAGAAATGTTCTCTTAATCGCTAAGAAATTCGACGGTTTCGACGAAGAAGGACTGCAAACAGAATGGTCAGTATTGCCTTTGGAATTTACAACGAAAAGTAGACAGACGCTTATCGAGATGAAATTCGATGGTTTCTGGAAAACAATTTTATTAACGCGAAATTTGGACTATAAAATTAAATTTCCTGAATTGATGAAATTAGTAAATACAATTAGATCACTTCCAAATTCCAATGCCGATGCAGAAAGATTGTTTTCCATGTTACCTGACATAAAAACAAAGAAACGGAATAAACTTTCTTCGGCCAGCGTCAACTCTATTTGCGTTGTGAAATCTTCGTTAAAGGCGCAGAGGGAAAACTCTCAACCCATGGAGGTAGATGACGATCATCTAGCTCTATTGTATTCCAAAAATTTATATCATAGATTTGCTAAGAAGCAAAAGTGTAATTTAAGATTAAACGCAACATATGACAATAACTTTGAGAATTTTCCCGCTACGTCATATGACGAAAATTAAGGTACCGATTTACTACAGAGCTTTTCTCTAGAGAGATTTTTCTCTCCAGAGAAAAGCTCTTTAGTAAATGCGTACTATTAGGCTGCAATGACAGTATAAACGTTTTCATGCGACGTCGCGGTAGACTGGTCTTGTTACGTCAACGGTACCGCGACGTAGGCGCAACAAGGTGTGATGCATGTATGTGCCATAACGTCACGCGAAAGCGCTTACACTGCAACCGCAGTCTTGTTAGTGATGTCCAAAATATTTTTTTTGGACATCGCTAATATGTAAATAGTCGTTCAATTTGTCTCGCGTTGTTACTTTTTTTACGTATTTCGCTTGCTGTAAATACTATTCTGCTTGCTCTAACTATCATTTTTTTTCTTCATTTATTTGCTTATATTTTGCCGTATATTTTTAGTTAGTGAAATTGCTTGCTGTAGATAGTGTGGCTATGACGTAGAATGTCGCGCCTTGTTACACTTACGTCACGGTACCGTAAGAGCAACAATGCACGACATAACGTGCCAGCTTAATCGCAAACGTCCTATCCCGACATCCCATCCTTTGGAAATGTAAACAATTATATCATTTTTCCATTTTTATGGCTCGTGTGTATATTAATAAAAATTAATGCATTCACGAGTTAGTTTTTCATTATATTGTAATTTCATTACATTAATAAAAACATTTTAATATACGGCATGTGATAATGTTACAAAGAAATAACAATTTTTTTCATTTCCTTCCTGATGGAAGTGACCACCACCTTCCCGTGGTTTCCATTGAACGGTAGCGTGCACGTTATTGTTTTACCTATCGTTACAATTATTTTGTTATGTAAAGTTAAGTCAAATATATAACATTTGATTGTGTGTAACAATTTGATACGGTTATTAAAAAACATAGTGGGAAAAGTCAGTAGTAATCTATTTCTGTAGAGTGGACGGTACTGGCTAAGAGTGGTTTTTCATTTTAATTAACCCTTAATTAACCCTTTACGAGTAAGACTGCTTTGAACAACATTATTCTAAAATATTTGTGGAATACGTTTTTAATGTGGTTTAGGTAGGTATGCAATGCATAAGATTTCGTTTAATTTTTCCTTTCTAGAAAAGATAGGAGAAAAGTATATTTGATCTTAATCCTTCTTAAGATTAATATAAATCGCTTTAAAAATTTGTTACAAATGATGTATATGTATCGAAATAATTATAAAACTAAAAACGTATAATCATCATTATATGGGAGCTGATCACGCTCAAAATCTAATGAGACGTTGAAACGAGAACATAAAACTTAAATGTTAAGTTTCATTGAAATTCGTTCAGCCGTTTAGATGCAATCATGTCAAAAGTATAGGAACAAAAAAAAATATGTTTTTTTGTAGTAGTCACAATATGATGAGGGGGTCCTAAAACGTGTATTTCCGCTAAAAAAAATTTCGAAATTTTTTTTCCATTATGATACTTTATAAACTTCCTTATACCTTACATAGGTCGGAAAGTAAAAATGCTGGGACAGTCGAGGCTTGGAATCGTATGCCACTTATCGCGAGGTCGTATTTCAGTTGTTTTGTCTTTTACAAGAGCAAGAAGGAAAGGCTCACACTAACGTTCTTTATCGATTTCCTGAAGTTGTGCGCAAGCGCCGAGCTCACGTACACGTGGCTCGTGCGGTAGTATATGTCTGCTATCCCCACCACTCCATTAGACGCTAAGGAAGTTCGTCGTCACTGTTGTCGATTTCGATGCACTCAATTATGCCAGATCTGGCCACACTGCGGCCCAGTTCTTTTCGACGCCTCGATAAAGCTAGAAGTAAGGAAACGGCATTGTATGTAAATAAAGGCTTTAGTTAACACAACAACAGAACTGAACTTTATATATCTGAAGACTCTCCCAGTACGAACCTATCCACCACAGTTCACGTTAACTGTGATTAGAGATGGCGTGCAAAATCACTGACAGTGATTTATCGCAGTGATCACAAAATCACGATCGTGATCCGAAAGATGGCGTTTTAGTAGCGGTTCACGTTAACTGTGATTGTTAGTGTTCCCACTAACTCCACTCAGTGGAAATTTAAAGAATTACAAATGCACCAAATTTTAACACGTTCACTGCCAGACCAAAATCGTATACTATTCTGCAAAAGCAAAATTTTGATTTCAGACCATTGTAAGCTACGTAACCTAATATTTGTTTCAGTACTTATTTTTGTAACCTTGTTAAAATTCATAAATTCTATCCAAATTTATTCTTTTCATTGAGAATTAATTTTTTCTAGTATCGTATTGGTAAATCTTGTCACCCATACGTGGGTGACGTGGCAGTCAAAGTGTTAATTGTTTAGTAATGTAGTCTAAGCAATGAAAAGGGCTGGGTTAGGTCCGGGTTATTATTTAAAAATAACAACATAGATAATTTTGATGGTTTTAAATTAGTCCAGCTTTTGAAAATATCCTTTCACCAATTCATCTAATGTTTCCTACTTTGCATATTAAAATATATGGTAGGTCTTTACTCATAATAGCTGCTTTAGCTATAATTGGCTCTTCTAATAATATAAATCTTACTCCCTTCACAAAGGAAGACATTTATTAAAGCCAACCATCATTTTGGCACCAGATGGATATATTTTATCCATTTTGGGTCCGTATTTCTCAGATTCGTCTAACAATACTCGTTAATGAATTCGAAAGAGATGCTCAAAATCTATGTAACTGGTTCCAGAATGGTGATATTTTTATCATCGATAGAGGATATAGAGATGGTATACCTTTTTTAACGCGCTTAGGAATTGTTTACAAAATGTCTGTTTTTCTGGAGAGAGGTCAACAACAGTTACCTGCTGTAGAAGCAAATGACACTCGGATTGTTACAAAACTGAGGTGGATCGTTGAATCCAGAAATGGACATTTTAAAACTATTTTTAAATAGTTCACATTTGGGGCCTCTTCTATTTATAATATATATCAATGATATCTCTAAGGTATTCCATCACTCTAAATTTTTATTATATGCAGATGATCTTAAGATATATAAATGCATTTATAATCAGCAAAGTGCTCAATCAATTCAAGATGACCTTTTCAGGCTTCAGAATTGGTGCTCATTAAATAAATTGTCCCTCAATTTAGATAAGTGCCATACTGTTAAGTTTAGTAATAAGAAAAATAATATCGTTATAATTATACTTTAAATGCAACTGTGCTTGCCTCTCTTAATCATGTTAAAGATCTTGGAATAACTTTCTGCTCTAACTTATCCTTTAAAATTCATTACGAAAAAATTATTGTGCAAAGTCTCCGGTCTTTGGGACTTATTCATAGGGTTTCCAGATATTTTGTTAAAACCAAAACACTTAAAATTTTATATTGTGATTTGAT